TTCTTGTTACTTATAATTTCCCGCTGCTTCTTTTCAATTTTTTAAAAAAAGAAAAATTAGTTATCGTTAAATTATTTTTTTTACAAGTTGACATAGTCAATGCAGTAGGTGTAATGAAAATATTTCAAAGAGGATAAATAACCAAAACGAATAAAAACATTTCGTTCGTCATCGCATCCCTGCATATAAAATAATTAATGATATTATCATTGTATAAATCATTTAACATGTCATTACTTTGATACCATTCAATTTATGGACGTCCTAAAGAAGTTTCGTAACTTGAGATTTAACGCACTAAAAATTGAAGAACACTTAAATTCAGAGTCTCCTCTTCAGCATTTTTATTTCTTCCACAATCGGAACTCTTAAATGCTCTTAGCAACACTGAGCACTAGCTCCCGAGAGGCCCAACACCCGCTCCACCGCACGACAGTTAACGCCTCTTAATACCGCGTACATTTCAACTATAATGGAAATAAAAACGCATTTTTGCCCAGGAACGGCGTATAAATTATATGCATTTTTACTTCTGCGTGACATAACAACAAGTACATTTTTATTAACAAAAAACAAAATTTACTTCAACAGTGACTGTTGAAGTAAATTTTGTTTTTTGTTACTCAAATCGTAATATTTTCGAAATCCAAGGTCTAAAACCAATTATTACAATTATAATAACAATACAAATGAATATGGGGCCACATGGGAGCTTAACTGAACATAAAGAAAAAAAGTAAGGTAAAAAAGTAAAGTAATAGCCTATACATGTCCCACTGCTGGGCAAAGGCCTCCTCTATTTAGAGGGTATCAGGGCATAGTCCACCACGCGGCCCCACTGCGGATTGGCGGACTTCACATATTTTCGAAATACATTTTTTTTTTGTTATTATTCCGAAAATATACAGGTTTCCTCACGATGTTTTCCTTCACCGCGGAGCACGTGATAATTCAGCACTTAAAGTTAAAAACTTCATTGGCGGGCATCGGGCAACCTGAGTTCGGTTGCTCGAGTATACATTGAATTAAGGCGAGCGCCCGGACACTGAGCTATCACGGCTCAGAAAAAAAATATAAATGACGGAGTTCTAAGGTAACAAACTTAAAAAATACAATCAAATTGAGAACCGCTCCTTTTTTGTCGGTTTAAGTCGGTTGAAATCAAACAATTGTCTTATGTTAATATCAGTTTCCTTATTTTTAAATATTTATGCAATGCACTACCACAATAGACATTACCTTTATTTTATTTTAAGTGTTATCCTTAAAGTTTAAAAAAATAATAAAGCGATTAGTTCTATAAGTTATTGACACGTGTTAAACTTGAAAATACGGAAGTATGTAGAACCCGTTCGTTTTTTCTAAACATTAGAGAAAATATTCTTGAACTTTATTTTCTAGTAACTAAAGCAAAAGAGTTGTATGTAATATTATTTACGTAACATAATACATGCAGAAATCATTTAGTGGTATAACTTATTAATAACATGGAGCCGATTTGCAGTTTCAAAGAGTCCTTTACTTGAAATTATCAAGATATGTGCGTGAAAGTGCTGTAATGGCAGCGTCGATTTAAATAGAGACTTAAATACCTACCTTTAACGATTATTATTGTTTGAGCAACTTAAAAAGGGGAATGAACTAAAGCGCTTCAAAACAGCAGCTGTGTACTTATTATCATGACTTAGAAACGAAAACAAAACACAATAACTCGTGAACTTCAAATCGCTTATATCGCCCTTTTTGTGTTTTGTTTATGAACCGTTGGTTTTAACTTAATTTTAATTAGTGTAGTTTTTAACTAAATGTAATAATTAAAGTATTTATCTTAAACGTTTTTAGATTAAGCATAATTGCTGCGTATTAAGACCAACATATTTTACAAATATAGGAAGTGTACCTTGATGAAAATAAAAATATCGGTATTAATATCGAACATATTATTGAATTAATAAAACTAGTAACTAGCCGAAACGATAACGTTTGGCTGATGTTTATGAATCCATTTAATGGACCTTTAATTATGTTATGGCCACTTGAAGCCTCGGTATTTATAGATATTGAACATGTGCGATAGTATTGATCGTGATCAAGTATGAGGAACTCTATGAAAACATAATAAAATTGGCATTGTAAACACATACGTTAAAAGGAACAGTTAATCGATTCGATAAATTATGATTTTAATCCAATTTTTACATAAACCATTAATATTGTTTTGTTACTCTTTATATAACCAATATTTTTGTTATTTACTTTCGATATCTTATTGTATAACCCGAATGATTTTTTAAATATATAAAGGTTGTTTAGGAGTCTCAGTTATTTATGCAGTTCAGTGCTCGCAGTGATGTTAAGTTTAACAAAGTCCATCGAAATAGTTTCCTTGGGCTTTGAATAGCAACGACCAATCAGTTAATGGCAAACATTGCACAAAGCTATCGAACAGATTGGCTACTAATAATGCATTTTCCAGTACATTGACGCCGTTCAAAATTCATCGGACATTGAAGGAATCGAACGGCTCCCAGCAATTTGAATGTGGAACGACCTAACGGGTATGATTCATGGGACGTTGGAACACCTCACAAGTTTTATGTTCGATACGTTGGAATACCCGATTAGGTAGAGGGGGGGGGGGGTGTAGTTCGTCGTTTTACGACGAAAACATTGATTGTATCATAATGATTCCAATCCAATGTGAATATAAACTCTGCTCAAAGATATAGTAAGTATCAATAGCTATATATAGAAAATTAAATGAAATTAAAAATAAAACAGTCTAACAGTATTTCAGTAACAAATGACAGTTTATAGAGACTATATTAAAAAGTAACGTAATATTCGGCCTCTCGTATAAGCATAGTATTGATGGTTCTAAAACAAATATTCCTGTTCTTGTTTTAATCCATAGTAGTTGAGACGTAAAGTACGTTAATACGCGGAATACATATAAAAGTAACGCTTGTTTTTTACTGCCCAATATGTAACATTTGGCCTGTCGCGACAGCCAAGTGCCGACATCACTAGAAAATAACTTCCTGGGTTTATAGTACTTCAAAATAAACATGTTAAGTAGTACGCTAGTATATTTTATATATAGTAGCTATATTTAAAAGTAATGCCTGTTTTGTTACTGGCGAAGATGTAACATTTGGCATGTCGTATAGCGTCGTCTAATATTATTAGTGATCACATTAACTAGTAATGCACTAATGTAGCGGGAGTGGCGGCCACATGTCGCGAATGTTTCATACATGGGCTTCGCAATATACCAGATGTTCGCGAACTTAACGCCACTCAACTCATGACAATGGTTGGTTGTGAATATTACATACAACGTGCTAAAATTAGATTAAATCCCTTACCGTTCGCGCAATAAACATCTTCTTATAGGACTCAAGCTTCATCTATATCTTCGTATACCAAACAACTACAAAGCACCGTTTACTTATAACGTCTATCGCGTAAAGCAAAGACACATAGCAAGGCAACACTGATCCTATAACTGTGATCAGCTAAAACTATCATACGCAGCACAAATTACTAAAAATCTCAACTCAACCGAGTCCGTAAAAACGTGTTCCCGCTCACCCGCGGACAGTAAAGCAGAAGGCACAACGCATATGGTCCACTACGTCGGCTAGGGCGCGACTGAACACCGAGAACGGGTCGGCCATAAGTGCGGCCTTTGTTACGGGCGGTCCATATCACCGGCGCCAGCTGTGAAGGCGAGCGCGTCTGGCGTACGGCCGATCGATCCCGGGCGGATTTACATTTTCCGCGGTGGCCGATCGGGAAAGTTTACGACGCGGCGGTGAAAAACAGCGGCCCTGCACGGCGCGCCCGTACGCCGGTAGAGCGCGCCGCCGATTGCCGCCCGCCCGGCGCGCTTCCTCGCCGTCGCCACGCGAACTAACCCGCGCGCCCCTTTACATAAGCGCACGGAACGCCAAACTGCCACCGGTGGACCGCTAATCAATCCCAAGTGTTACCGTACATACTTCCGATTCCTCGGACGCTTACGATCCGACGCGAATTATCTTATTATAGGGACATACTTCGATACGTCTATTGACAAACACGGGAGGTGATCGCGAACGACGCGCTTTGACACGAAGGGCTCACATCACTGTACGGTTGATAGAAGTGCGATTTTATGTCGAGATCGTTAAGGTCCCGATTGGGGCGATTTTGTTGGGGGTGGTTAGGGTTAAGGCGTGGTGGATACCGGCAGAGCGCGGGGTAGGGACGGCGTGAGACGCAGGAGTATCGATTTTAAGTCACCCGCCCCCTCCGCAAGCGATGCGACAGTGTGAGTGCGCTATGCGAGTCCTAAAAGCGAGATCGTCAGCGGCACACCATTGGAGTGCGGGTATTAACAAAAGCTTTATTTATGCTGATTAAAAAGGCAGTAAAACGCGTTCGAAAATGCTTGTTTTCAATGTGACAGTGTCGAAGTTTAAAGTAAGTTTAAAGTAGTAGTTAATTCTTAGTAGTAATGAGAGAAGCAATAACATCATCCAAACACAAACCCAAGCGAAATCTTTCCGTTTCTTTATGCGATTCCTATTCTCTAGGGGGGAAAGTAATACATTTCTTACCTACGTCCGGTTGTATTTCATTAAGGCTTACGAGCTTTCTTTAAATAAAATAAAAGTCTGGGGAAACGTTTGTGTGTTTAGATTGTTTATTTTAATATTCTTTGTTATAAATAGCAAATTTGTTACATATTTGTATACATAAAGTTTGTTCAATATTAAACATAAGTATACTTTCATTTGTTAAATATCAGAAAGCTTGACGGCCACTTGTGGATTCCAACATGACAATGTTATTGGAAGGGAATATATGTGCTCGTAATAAAAAGTATAATAAAATGTCAACCTGAGTTATTAAATAGGACAACGTAAATGTTAATATCGAAGGCTAAGCAAAGTTTCCGATACTATCAGTTATTTTACACTCATTTAGGTTTTTAAAATAAATAAATGACTCACCTGTCATCAAGCTGTTGAAATTGAGAAGCTTGCTGATAATTAACGCGTCGCCCATAGAGTGAAGCTCCTCCTTCAGACATATATCCGTCCATCATATCGTTGTTCCGCCCGCAGCCCGTTTCGTTCACGTTGATTCTCCTTAAGCAGTCCCCGTCAGACATATATCCGGACGCAATGTCAAGATCGCAGTAATCGGGATTGGAAAACCCTGGCCCGTAATTCATTCGTTCACGCAAGCCCACGTTGTCCCGACCAAAGTTGGCTTTCACAGTGTTAGCGTGATGGGGATAACCCGGTATGTTCTTTTGTGCCAGGCCAGAAGTGCGCATGGGTAGTGTTAGGTGACTGTTGTAGCCGCGCAGAAGTGGTCGCATTGGCATCACGTTCATCATTGGATTTTCATCTTCCCCCAGCGAATTATCCCGACAATGAGACGGTGTGCTTGATCTACTGTCAGTCTCTTGTTTTTTGCTGAATTCTGTTAAAGTTTTATTATTGTCAAAGAACTGCTTATGCCCAGAGTTATCGTGGCGTTTCTGAGCAGCCTCCTTTTCTGATAACTCTGCTTCGTTTATAACGTTATTGATGTAAGTGGTATTCATATCCATTCGCTTACTGGGCGTCATGTTGTTAGTTCTAGATATTTCCGAACCAGATTCACTGGAAGGCCGATAAATTACGCTGCCGTCGCTTGAGTTCGATTGTTGCCCAGTAGTGCTGTGAGTCGAATTCGAATGAGAGCTTTCGGACATTTGTGATGATGGATTTTGACTTCCCACGTTAATTACCGGCATTGGCGAAACGGCTAGAGTCTGTTTTTGGGTTATTTCTTTATTTAAATTGGATTGCTCTCGCGTGAACGGATGCGCGCTGATATTATTCGTTGAATTTAAACTAGAATTACTTTGTATGGGACTTAATTGACTGTTGGTGCTTTTATGAATGATATGCCTATCGTCCTTAGATATTTTAGAAGTTCCTTTAACGGCAGCCGTTGGTTTAGGTATACCTGTATGATTTTGTCCAGTAGTATTTTGGCCTGTTGGAGACTGAGGTTGGTTTGGCAAATTTTTACACTGAACATTAGCATTCTCATGAGTTTTAATTTCTGCATTACATTCCGACCGAGATTCTGAGAGCTTCACTTGACTTCCTGATAACTTAACCATTTTCGACTCTATCTTAGTTTTCGAACTTCTAGTATGATCCTCGATTGCGTTTAATTTTGTATTACTAACAGATTTTGGTGCTGCTAATTTAGATTCTTTATCTCGTGATGGCAATTTTGGACTATTGCTATTTTTTTCATTGCCGCTACTCCTAACACTACTTTTACTTAAATTTGTAGATGGTTCTTTCGCGCCTTTGGAGTTCACTAATTTTGACTTTACATTTTTACCAGACTTGTCTTTAGATAATGTGTCACACTGCTGTCTTATAGTTTTAGGTCCTATTAAATTGGAAGATTTGATATGTGCGTTTGCGTTGTTCGATGACTCGTTGAGGCTTAAGCTAGAGTCGGATCGTTCACTCTTCGCAGACGAAAAACCACTTGAAGAACTAGTGCGTTTCGAAACTGCTGTACTTTTATTACTATGTTTTTCATTCGTTACTTTGTCTTTGTTAAAGAGTTTTAATTTATCTAACATGGACTGTTTTGTAGGTGTGCCATTATGCGAGGCTTGTGTGTGCTGCGGTGTCTGTGACAATTGTGAAGGTATTTTACTTCCTGGAGCTAATAAGGAGGAATTTGGTCGCGATCTGCAAAAAAAAAGCTAGACTATAATTTACAAATGTAATATCAAATATTTATTAGGAAAAATAGCTCTGAATACTTGTGACTGCTAAATAAATTCATTGTTTACTAAACCTTCAAGCACACGTTTTGTAATTTTTATTTTACGTTTTTAAATTAATTGAATACCCTTTACCGTATTGGTATCTAAATTATTGCTACAAGCTTGGATTCTGGATTTCGACATTCCCATTTCGCGGCAACATAAAATATGTATTGACTTCTCGTTTTTACGCGAATATTATACAGATAAAATCCTTAAACTAGATTCATTTAATATAATATATTATGATGTGTTTGCTGATTATCGCTTGTTAGACCATTTGTTTCGATGTCCGGTTTAAGTTATCATAATTTATAAAATTTTATTGTATGTATTCTGGTTGTTACGACCACAGCGCATTAACCCAGGCAATTCGATACGGAGTCATCATAATTTAAGTTTTAAATTTAAACGGACTTAAACTATTTCCAATAAATAAGAAACAATTTGTGTAGTTCTATAATTAAGGTTTGCAATATCACTTGGATAGCAAAACAGAATATATTCTAAATTAATTCAGGTCTTGAAAGTTTTCGTAACATTTATTTCAATTACATACCCGGATGATGAGGCGGGGGCACGTGGTATAAAGCTGACGGCTCCTTGGCCTAAAGGACTTGTGGAACGACTAGAACTTGCAGACAAACCGCTTTTACCTGTAAAAAAGGCAGACTTAAAGAGACAATAAGAAAAAACTTTTAATTACAAAATTTTACCTCACCAATTCTTGGTAGCAATTAGCAAATGTGTTCAAATGGATTACTTTAAAAGTATCATGTATTTAAAATCTATTAAAGGGTTTTTAGGAAGAGGACTTTTGAATGTGAAGGAGCACGAAACACGCACAATCTGTTGCCATACAAATTGCCTGACGAAATAACTTTTGGGCTATTCCAAAAGCTTGTAAGCTTTCAAAAATGTTTGTTTTTTATATTAAAGAACACTCACACTGTCCATGAATAAGCACTATTATTAAATAAGAATACTGCTTATTCATAGGCAAAAACTGCTGCGAATGAAATATTTGATAAAACTCAATTGAGTTTAACAAATATCTTGTTCGTCTCGGCGATCGAGCGTCTCGAATATCGGCTCAGCGAATCATAGCGACTTTTAAAAGTTATGTTTACCGAGATATCACGAAGTTTTTTATCGCAATACGGCACGGGTGGTGAGTTCCCGCGACCTACTGCTCGGCCTATTGAACTCGAGCTATATTTATACGAATGTTAGGACAAACATGCGCTATAGTTACCAATTTTAATAGGGCCACTGCGCCCTTCACGACCCCCTAAAATTTTAAACGACGAGGGGAATGTCAGCTGATTGCAGCAGCTCTAAGGATAATGGTTAATTTTATCGATCTTTCGCCGACCAAATAATAATAATTCTGACGTCATGGCGCGGTCAGAAACGCTCGCGTATGCATGAATCAACCCTAAAAGAGCACAAAAATTTAGAGTCCACACAATGAAACTAAATACATATTGTGTAATGAATTCACTACGTCAATAAAAATAATAATTAATTAGGATATAGACGAAAATATATCTGTTTAAGAATGATGTTTAAAATCAGTGCCTACCCACTGATAATTATGTTTTATTTCCAAATCTTTCACATTGTCAGGCCAGTTTTAATATCCAGATGGAGTTATGGGTCAATAAGGCGATTTTAGTTTGCGAAAGCTTAACTTCATCAATGCGGCATAAAAATGTCCTGTGATTAGTTTTGATACTTGATGATAATTAACAATAAATTTAAAAAAGTAAGGAAAACAAGTGAAAGGTAGAAACTGTAAAATAGTCTGAATTAATAGAAATTGAATAAATTCAATAAAGGCTAAAAATGCCAATGGGATGAAACGGTCAGATATTTAATAGCTTCTTTTCTCATATTTAAATCCATTCTATAAGGAGAAAGTAAAGTAATATTATTAACTTGATTTTACCGATTTGAAAGTAGTTTCTATTAGATCAACAACTGCATATTTATTGAGCGAATATTCACATCTGTTACTACAGCTATGTGAGAGGACCATATATTTACACAACTTAACTTACACAAGAGGCTTAAAAGGGAAATTTTCATAAATTTTCAAAAATTATATTTGCAGGATATACGTGTTAGTTGCTATAAGACTATAATTATAGTTTACTATGAATAATTTATACTCAAAACAAGTATTTACTCCTAAATTTTCAATACGTCCTATTTTCTTAAAATTAATTGCCCTAAATCTATGTATAAAGCGAGGCACCATTGTGGTTTATTTGCTTGTTACATAAATAAAGTGCAACACTTAAGCGCTACAAAGTGAAATAGTCCTATATTGCCCCCAAGCAGTACGCACGTCATCGTACGATGAATTTAGCAGTTTCAATCAGCAACAGTCAGCATCCGTTCTATTCGGGTCAATCCATCACATTTGTTGAGTGGTTGTCTCTTACATCCTATGTTATTCGATGTTACTCGTGGATGGATTTAATCAAACAAAATATATGAGCAAATCAAATCAAAACTTTCTAGGATTTCGTTTAGGGATCAAGGTTATCAATTGCAATAATATAACACAAGATTCCAGCCATGCCTATTGTTTTTGGTATTTATATTAATAGATTATTATTCACATGCCAAATGAGATTCGTATTATAAATACACTAATAAGATAGATTTTTAACGAGGCTCACTTTTCGATAATCGCCCTCTTCGTACGTGAGACGCAGAGCTATTAGTAGTTTAGACTACGCTTACATTTGCGTTATCTGTCATTTTTTTCACACTTAAAGTTCACTAAATTTAATGTGGAGCAATATAAAAAAAAACAATACACCACACCGCGAAATATTTAAGCAAAAGCACAAAATGCACAATTTTAAATTTTAATATTAAATCAAAAATCGAAAACGTTATCGTCGAAACAGCGCGCGCGTCGAGCTGTGCACGGCGACTGACGATGCATTGAGTCTACGACAATGCACACGATACTGAATCTAAATAAGTCTAAAGACAATCAAAACGAGCATATCATAATGACCACTGTGTTCCATGTGATTGTTGGAAAGGTTTGTTATCTCTGGAAACTTGTGTGGTATTTAATTCAATTAACTTGCTTCGATTTCATAAGTACGCGATTCACGAGGCAAATAACACTAAAAATGATATAAAAATAATATTGTTGCTCAGCATTATTTTGACAAATTTTGATATAGTGGTGAGTGGTAAAATACTTCGAAAATTAACTATTATAATTATTCCTTCAAGACATTGAAAATTATTCAACTGTCTTCGTGCAAATGATATTAGTAAAACGTAGATAGTAAGAAATTATCGCTTATATGGAAAGGTAATGCTTAAAATAATAAACATGCAACAGAATATTCTGATTCACTGTTACGCCATGAACAACGTCTGCCTACAAAGCATGCAAGGCAGAAGTTATAAGCTCTTACTTTAAATTTGCCACCGAGATAGACAGACATATATAGCCATCTAGATTAGTTTTGCATCCTTCTCTATTATTATTGATCTAAAAAAATTAATGAGAATCGAACCCGTGATTTAAGAGCAGTAGCTAATGTAGCAGCTACAACGCAATAACGGACCCACATAAACTTATACCTCTCTCTGTTACCAATCACAAAAATATAAATAATAGCAAAGGATATTCACACATGCGACGAAGTATTTAATCTTTTTATAACCAGCTGCACTTGGACGTGAATTCCTTCGGGAGTTAGTATTAATTAAACTTAATTGACGATGTCTAGTCCATCGTAATAGATTGTCTAAATAAACACATACTTAGTAAATAAAAATTGTTCTATATAAAGTCTAAAATTAGGGAAGCCAAATAGGTCAAAGTTTTACTTTACAACTGTTTGTTTGGCCGATATTGTTTTCGTTTTCCCTGTAACAAAAACAGTCGTAAGAAGAAAATTAGAAATGTTTCGCAAAGATGCCATTTTGTTTTTTAATTTTAGGAAATAAACTAGAAGTACCTATATTGTATAAGACATACAAAATGACGGAAAGTTAGAATTGGTGCGCAAGTAAAAAATTAAAATGATCTTTTAACTCATTATTCTCGTCATCTTCATCACGTTCAGCATAGTGATCAAAGATAAAAAATACTATTCTTATTTATTCTTTTATTTAAAACTTAATATATTTTTTTATTTTAAAAAATTGGCCGTGATACAATTTATATTTAAAATAAAGCCAGGCGTAAGTGATGCAAAAATCGGCATCATCAACCAATTAAGAACTAAAAAAGAAAAACATTTTTTGCATGCACCCTATTATACAGTTTAGTAATAAATGCTAAGCATTATTCACGTCACATATATTTATTAGTTTATGCCAAATAACAGTTTAGAGGTAATAGCAGATTGTACATATTTAATTACTATCTGACTGGTTACACATCTCATATTGGCAAGAGTTCAAGTACATTTTGTTTTTAATTTGTAACATTTCGTCAATACAAACGTCAATTGCGATAATTGTTTTTAACAATTGTTTTCCGCATACGACTAGAATAATTCAATTAAGCATTAAAGAAGCTTTCAATTGTTAATAAGTAAAGCACTTACAGACGTCTCGAGTGCAGCCGGTTACTTCCGGTTTGGCTTTAGACCTACCATTGTCTAGGGTCTAATTGAATATGCAGTTATGACGTATAGTGCCTAAAGAATGTAAAAATCAAAAGCATCACTATTAAATTTCAATACATAATACTTCAATGTTTCAAACTGCGCATTAAATTATTATTCAATAAAATAGGAATATGGTTAATAAGAGAGAAAAATATCTTTTAATTCGCTATTAAATATAAGGAAGTTCCAAAATGTGAACTGTGTGGTGAACACAGTTTTTATTCACGAATATCTTGATTCTAAAAGATTAAAGTTATGATGACGATTTATTCACTTAGATATAGGTTATCGTTTGTAAGAGACAATAAAGAAAAATTCCTATGCTGTTTTAGAAAACACTGTTAAGACAAGCGAATTATTGAGACAGAAAAATATTAAGATCAAATACAAATACAATAAAATCTAAACAAAGCAATTAATAGCATGCGGCTTTGAAACAAACTGCAACTTGCAACTTTCTGTGGGAAATTTATAAAATAATTAAGCAAAAGATTATTAGCAATTTAATGATTTAATATACTGTCTTATCACTGTCGCTTAAGTTATTGACTATTTGTTTAAAATAAATAACTAGAAATGCTTATGTTCTTAACGCTTAAATTACATCATTTTACTTAATCGAGTGGATGCTCAAAATTAATTGATTAGTAAACGATATGGCTCAGGTTACGTGTGTTTCAGAGAGTATTTAACTCTTAATTAAAGAACTAAGTCAAAGAATTATCTCATTAATTCAAAATGAATGTTCTGATCTCAGTTCGATACTCAGACGCACTATTCGTTCTTAAGTTTAATAAAAAGAAAACGACGCTATTTACTCAATCCTTTCAAAAATCTTGTAAGCTAAAATAGTTAGTGATAAAATTATGGCCCTCCTTTACTTGCAATATTTTTTATTTATTTTTTAAATCTTATCTATGTAAAGATCATCGCATAAATAAAGTCGTGTTTTATACTAATTCGAAAATATTATTTGTCTTTAAAAACACTTTTCTGATTAAGTATGCTTAAAGTAAACTATGCGGAAGGGAAAACGGTTGATGTATATCGAATAAATCAGTAATTATAGGATAATAATTAGGCAATCGACTAATGCATTGAGCTTTTCTTCGTCTCGTTATTATTTAGCATTTTTAGGCATTGTAAAAATATCTGTTATCTGTTCGTGAACACCTAAAGCAATAACTACCTACAACTGGCAACGTTAACAACAGTTTTTTTTTGTCAAAATGTTGCATGTAAAAGATAATAAGCGCAAATTAAAGTAGAATATATTCTTTGCAAAATTAAATTGATGCTGCGGTAACATAATAAGGGTAATTTTGAAATATTTAGTAATTTGCCTACACGAACGCATTAAAGTTTTACCACAAGTATCTCTCTGCATAAGCAGAATTAATTTTAAAATTCAAGTATTCAAATAAAAAGGAATGCTTTCAAATAATCTACTAAATTTTATTACAAATCGACAAACTACTATCGTTTCATTGAATTTATTGTAAGACAATAGAGTATAAACTATACTACTCGTATTTAGCATCAGAAAGCAAAAATTTCAAGAGCAAGTTTATAGAGGTGCAATCCCATTACCTATCCGTGAATCCTTCAAAGTTGTTTAAAAATGCATTAGCTTTGTTGTTTCCTGCATCTTATAATAGCGTTTTTGATTTAATTAACTTTTGACAGAAATGAATAATCTCTTAGCAAGATTTCCTAGTATAAAGATTCGTATAATAATGTTGTTTGTGTTCTGTGGCGCCCTAATTCTCCGCAAAGGCCTCTAAGCTCGCTTTTCAATTGACATGGCTTTAAGTACTCGCAAGTCCGCTTGTATAATGTGGCACGAGCTAAGACGCCCAAATGGTCGCTAATGCTTTTAGAGGGCAGGGCACTTACCCGCATGTACCGGCGTGGCCGGCAGGGGGCGTTTGTCTGGCGGGGCACGGCGAGCCGCCGCCGCCGACGCTGGCAGGGGGATCGACGTCTGCAACACCGACACCTGCCTGGAGAGAAAATGTTCGGTTCAGATATATAAGAGACACTACATAGTATAAAATAATATCTATATAAAATAATAGTCGTCCCGCTGTCTGTCTGTCTGTCTGTCTGTCTCTATATATGCTTAGATATTTAAAACTACGTAACGGATTTTGATGCGGTATTCTTTAAAAGATAGAGTGATTCAAGGGGAAGGTTTATATGTATAATTTATGCATAAAGTAGAGAAACAGTGATTATTTTAGAGGTTTCTAATGCGATGTCGAAAACAAACATTCAGTATTGCACCCGTGCGCGAGAAATTATTGATGTCAAATAAAGCATCGTAAACTTTCCTTCTCTTTACGTTAGAAAGCTTTGATTATGACAAGTATATAATCAAAGGTTACAAGTTTTCGTAACAAAATATTCATATGATAGATCGTAGAAATATTTCTTAATGGAATAATGTAAAAACAAACAACCGAGACGAAATTAATATTTGCAATTTGCATGCGATTAGGCGTAGAACAGTAATTCTAGGTTGTAACTATGTAACTTGCTAAAAACCGCTTTCAAAAATTTTATCACTCGGTGAATTAAAGGCTGAAATATATCGTTTAATAGCCTTAATTTGAATATAGAGTAGGACTTTTATTCCACTGAATATCCTTGTTGTGTTTTTTTTATCAAAATAATGTGAATACATGCTATATGTATTTTTTATTAAAATAATAATGCTCACGACCACTAAATAAGATGAACAATTTCTACGAAATGGTGTAATGTAATGTAAATCAAAGCTAAAGGCATTGAGTACATTGATATCCCTAAGTCATAATGGGTATCAAAATTCAAGGATAAAAACAGCTCGACAAACATAACATGCCCCTAAATGGAATGTCGTACAATCCAATCAAATAGCAAGTTTTAAAAGCATCAAATTATTCTCTTAATGATAATTTTTACACTAAATCCTACTAACATTTGGAACTATTTTAGTTAGTACTTTATTATAAACATTCAATGTAATCGTTTGCATAATTAAAGCAGAAGTCAACATTTGTTAAAATATAACAATGTTAAAAAGTATTTAATTTTAAACTTATTATGTATTAATTAGTGGACTATGTACACTTTTCTCCCTAAAACTAATTAACTAATTAAAATACAAATAACAATAAAATATTAACATAGATTAGCCAATCTGTTAATTATTTCAGGATAATACAGATACATTCTTCCGAAATTTGAGGTACATCATATTAAAGATTAAAAAGGCTAGCTAACTTTTAACAATCTCACATACCAAGACACACAATGCGCCTGGAGACTCAATTGTGTGGGACTGAAAAATTGCTATTTGCCAGACGGTGCACTTGCGAAGTTACTTAGTAAGAGTTTCCATTTAATGCGGGCAGTGTCCGGGCATTGTCCACAGAGAATAAAATTTTGGTTCAGTGACGCTACAGCTATAAGACACTAACTACTCTTGGCACGTACAGTCTTAAATCTGAATTATTCTCAACTGCTGCGAGAGAAAAAGACATAAATCTAGGTTAGGTGCTCATACAGGACATGTAGCTAAATAAAAAATAAATGTTGTAACTATAAAGATTTTATTGTATTTTTTTTTTTTTTGCATTTTATGCCCCGGTATTTAATGATTGTAGAACATGACGTGCTATCATTTAGGTTTTTAAAATTTATTTTGAATAATAAATTCACAAAGCATAAAAAACTATACGAGTAAGTTGTTTTATGTTCTATTTAATCATAAAATGACTAAACAAAAATTATTAATGTTTAGAAACTAAGCAACTTGGCGTTATAAGCGAGGAAACTTAATTAATAATTCTGTTGTAATTTATTTTTTGTCCCTTTATGTTATTCATATTGTTGTTTTATGTTAGTCGACACTAAAGTTTTTGAAGACATTCACACGTGTAAAATACTCTGACGGAAATATTTACCACAACTTATTCACCCTTTACTTTGCCATGTTATTATTGATATTCGCTCCTAGATGGCGTTGACATTGACTACACAAACAGAAAGTTATAGAACTTTAATTTAGACAAGACTCCTTAATATAAAATTAATTTAGTTTAAGATTAATATTTATTATACTTCGCTTATCATTTATTACACCTTCTGACACAAAAAATACTATCAATATAATTTCCAATATAAGTTTATTAGGTAATTGATTTTAAGTTTCGTCGACTTTAATATACATTATTCTATTAAGTAAATGGTATCAGAATGTATCATTCATTGCATGAAGTGATTGAATGAATTGGATAATAATTTATAAGTATGTTTCAACGACCAGGATTGCATAAACATGACAGAGGCACCTCACGTCATCGGTACCAGAGCGTTTGTTATCAATAATTTTCATTGTCACGAGCAAAAACTAAAATGCCTTTGTCTGAGCGCAAGTCTTAGAGAATGGGCATACTGTAAACATTGAACATCTGCGGTCGTGTGAGCTTTACGCAAGAGGGCTGTTATTTGACACGCGTTTGTCACTTGTCCGTTTCGAGTAACTGCTTCGCCGTACTGTCGGTTCTACCTATAATTATATTATATATAATATAATATATATAATAATATATAGCCTATTCCATTTAATAATTTCCATGTTTACCAATACAGTGTCGATAATATTATAAAACATGACATATATTTTTCTAATCTTTATCGAAACTATCAGTTTCGAATCGAAGTTTTAAAAAAATCGTAATTGTCTGAAAAAAAAATACAAAATAAAACATGACAGTAACCATAATAAGTATAGGTCTAAGAAACGCAACGAAATGAAGATTCCTTTCAAATTGGTGTTGTTTAATTATTTATACATAGAATAAAAATGTAACTGATCGTTGCCTGATATTTGAAGAAAAATATTATTAGAGACTTTTATCAACGCGATAGAACTCAAAACAATTATTTTTTAAAATTTTATCTGTGGGTTTGTGTGCGCTAATTTCGGAAACAAATTCGGGTATAACTTTCACTAATACATTGTAGTAAGCTTTACTTAACACTTACACCCGGTTTCTGAAACACTGATCATCGTAGATGTCAACTAATCAGCTGTCAAATGAATTTCAAATTACAATTTAGGTACCAAAAGGTTGGTTAAATTCTCTGAATTGACCAGAATGATCTTCTTTATGATCAGAATGATCAATTCAAAGAGTTTAAACATCCTTTTGGCAACTAAAATGAAATTTGAAATTCATTTGACAGCTGATTACATCTACGATGATCAGTGTTTCAGAAACCGGGCGTTAGTGTAAGTTTTATTTTAATCGATTCACAAATAAAAAAGTTATATCAACTTAGAGAACCACATTGAAGATTTGTGCGATAAAATGCTATATAATAGCTACAGTTCAATTAGATGAAACAATAGTTTTTAACTTTTTTTTATGTCATAAGTTGCCAAGCGAGCAGACGGTTCACCTGATGTTAAGTGAATACCGCCGCCCATGGACATCTGCTACACCCGAGGGTTCCAGATGCGTTGCGTTGACAATCTTTTCAAAATCGGTCTCCAGCCACCAAACTCACCAGACGAAACGCGAAAGTATTACACTTCCACTTTACGCCGGTCTTCTGTTAGGTCGTGGTACTTACCCGGACGAGCCTGCCAATTCGTGCAACAGCCGAGGTTGCTGCGTGGCCACCATTAATAACTTTATATTAACTATATATTATAATTATAAGTCAAATAATTAAATATATAAATTATAGTCTGTTAAATGATGATGATTATAAGTTTATATAAATTTAACGGACGAAGGTTTCCGTACCATTATCTATAAAAACGGCAAAAAAATCACGAGTTTGTTTGTTTGAACAAGCTAATCTACTGTTCCGATTAGAAAAACTTGCACTGTTACATAGCGCATTTATTGAGAAAAGCTATTTTAGGCTACTTTTTAGGCATGATATAAAATGTAGTAAATGCGGACTGAGCCACGACCGAAAACCTAGTAACAGAAGTACTTTCGATGACATTAAAAATGTTGTGGCAGCCTCGGAAAACTGTAATTTCCAAATAACGGTGTGGAACGTGACACGAGCTTCCGGAGTGGGTTTGTTCGGAAATGGAGGTAGAGATGGCACGTGACGTCAACGCTTCATTTAATATTCCTATAAGCCACTGTAACGTTTTTAAAAATAGAATGGTATGTTCGATCAAGTGTATTTTTAAACAAAGTGACTTTATAAAAAGACATGTTTACTGTTTTTATTGTGGCCATGAGTAATTAACAGTTAACATGTTTGCTTAGGTCCATTACCGGTATGTACATATAGTATTGTAGAAATACTCAAGGCCTTATGTTACCACTTTCTGACTTATCAGATGTAGCTCAGGTGTAGCAGATGTCCATGGGCGGCGGTATTCACTTAACATCAGGTGATGGTTCACCTGATGTTAACTGAATACGAACACCTGCTCGCTTGAAAACTTTTCACATTAAAAAAAACTGGAATACTTAATAAACACACGCTATTAATTCATAGAATAAGATACTTTTTAAAGACACCTGAGCTGTAATGAACAATCGTTGCACTCCGGGCCCTGAATTATGTCTTTAAAAAGTACACTGTAGAAGATAAGGCGATATAAAACTTGTTTATCACTTCAGTAATAGCGACAAGAGATCAAAGATTACTGGACCATTTCACTTTTACGATATCGATCGCGTTTTCTATAAAAGAACTACACGAAGTATCCCGTAACCCGTGTTTATAGCTTGGCGATCTAAAAGTGAACTAGATGTTTGATACTGCTATTACGGGTGTGAACAAAGAATGCTCGTGCTTACGTCAAATTAAGTGTAAAATTAGCGGAGAAAATAGGCCCAGTTTAAGAGCACCGTGTAAGGTTGCTTGCGCAACGTCTACACATTCGCCTGTACTCTCTTCGCTTGTGAATCACAATGAATCATTCAACCTTTGCGAGATTCAGTAAAGCCAGCGGTAAATTTTGCCACATACCTACATAAACATTTTAGGTGATAATTTGGGCCAAATTTCTTTTATTAACCGCCATACAACCACCATAAATGCATGTAGATGTTATTAGATGAAAAAAAAACAATGAAATAAATGTACTGTACTACTTTTTAATTTTAAAAGTTGGCAAACGAGTAAGCGCTTCATCTATGTTAAGTTATCGCTGCCCATTGACATCTGCAACACTTGACGCGTTGCAGATCCGCTGCCAACATTGTAAAGGCCGTGGTACTTTCCCGGACGAGCCTACCCGTTCGTAGAACAGCCGATGATGAAGCGTGGCTCTACTGACATGTCAACATGTAACTTTCCCAAACATTTTCTTTTGTGACGTATCGTTTTCTGTTAGCCCGACGGCTTTAACAGCTTCGATGTCACGAAGGCGCGACACGATACAAGGGTCCCTCAGATGGAGCTTAGAATGGATGACTAGGATCGCAATCGACAAGGTGACCTACCCAGAAGAAGGAAGAAGGTTGAAACTACGACTCAATCCCGAGACGTACCGGCGCCGCACTATCGCTTACGAATGAATATATTACACAAACAATTATCTTTGCAAACAAAAAATCCCCTAGAAAAACTAGTCATTAATATCACATAAAAGCCTAATCGGAGAATTCGTTTGAGCAAATTCTCAATGCAATACACGTAATTCCAATGTCTTCGTCATTTATTCAGTGCAATATAGCATCATATATGCTAAATAGGTGACTACCGAATTCTATACTTCTTTATACTTCTTTAACGTTAAAATTTTTCTTTTGTTTGCTATATAAATGGACTGGGCTGCTGAAATTTACCCTAAATTGTACCAAATACGGACTTATAAGACGGATATACTGTTAGAGCTAACCGATCCTTAAAACCTCTAACGTGGAGCATACCTTCTGACTTCGGGCGAGGTGGGTAGACTCCTTGATTTTCTGCTCTTGCTGTGATGTCGGGAGTGCCCTTGTCCCGAGTTTGCGTTACCCATGGCTGAGCAATTACACTTTTCCCTTTAATTACACTTCATACCACAACAATGGGGTCCCGACGTAAACATTTTCCTTTAAAAATGTCACAACACTCACTGTTCGAATTGTTTACGTATTTTTCGTGCATCTCGCTCAACCGCAAATCGAAGACACTGACATTTTATTTAGAGTTAATACCCTCAATTTTTATGGAAATATGTAATATTATTTAGCCATTAGTTCAATCATTTTTATATGCCATTGGTAATATTTATAGTATTTGATTGCGATTTAAATAGGAATCCCGCATTGGAAGCTTATAAAAATATATTTGTATTTAATTTTTCAATTGTTCTATTCTATGAACAAATAAACTATTTTTTTCTAACGACGGCGTAACGTTGACACAAATAAAGGATTACACAAAATGGAGCTTTCACTAAAACGTTTAATTGACGTCCAAACATCAGACGTTCTGAGGTGAACGTCTATATAAGGTGTTTTCGCCGATAGGCGAAGCCCATAATAGGTAGGTAACACAATGCAGCCTAGGTCTGCAAATGCCAGCACAGGCCGTCGCTCCAACATTACTCGAATATCAGAGGTCGTATCCGTAGATCGTACTCCATGTACCGAAAACAATTCACTATTGTCTGCAAGCTTTGAATGTAAATTTAAGTTTGAAACGCGGTTACATAATCCTATGACATTAAAACATACTACCGCACGACCTGTTGTAGCCTTATTGATTTAAGTTATTCAGATTTTTGGAACGAAGTTCCTTACGGCAGGCTTGGAGGGGATAGGGATTTTGCTGCGCGACCGAACTGAAAAAAATGTGATAGTAAAACCGTGATAGAAAAAAATGTGATAGTAAAAAAAAGTGCGTGGTATAAAACCGTTAAATGAGACGTGCGCAGGCGCGACAGTCGCATACACAATCGAGTAGTGTATAATTTTGTTATTTTAGTTGATAATTTGAATTACGATGTTTTTTTATTTTAAGTAATTTATTATTTCCTAAAATACTGAATTTCCTAAATACTTTCTTGTACTTAAATAAAAACTAATCAGCAAAATTTAAGAGAAAAATCAAGAAAACCTACATAAAATTGATCACGATTTTTTTTGCAATTTGTGTCGATTCTACATTAACCGAAGGAACTTCGTTCCTACCTGGTGTCCCACGACACCACATATTTATTAATTTAGCGATAAGTGTATTAACCTAATACGTTTTTAGTTTTCAATTAATATGGTCTTTATTTATTTTAGACAAATTTCAATTTCGCCAACAAAATGAATTATCAGTCGGCGAATTATATTGCATTTTAACTTTGTTTATAAATAATATTATAATAACAATACCTATTAAATATCGACTGCAACAAAATTCGACCTAACAAAAACTAGAAGATCTTTTCGATGATGACTTGTTTTATATCAGATGGCCCGAAATCAACATATGAATAATGAGTACATTAGTAATATTTTATCTTGCCAATAGATTACAAGTGATAATACGGAATAGAATATTAAATCTAAAACTGTTAATGGATCACATTATATCGACAATTGACTACAATGGTACCTTTGTAAAGGGGAGACACAAACGATTAGTTGTTATTGTACCGTCGTCCTGTAGAGGACAAAACAATGAAGAAAAAAAAACGTAATTACCGACACTCACAAACATTCGAGTTCATTAACCTTGTACCCGGTCTTTAAATCAGGTTAAGATATGTAAAAAAATAAGAAAAATGACGCTAATGTTGGTTTAGATTTTATATGAAGCATTTATATGAAGATTTTATACAAGCAAGAAGTTAATATTAATTTTATATGACAAATTTGTTAATTATCAGATGATTTTCATGCGGAAAATATATTAAACTTCCATAGTGCTGGACGTTTTCGTTCTGAATGGATATAACACTTCATATGAAATAAATAATGAAAATAGGTTTCATGACCCAAAACTGTTATTAGTATGTAATGTATTCAATATGTCCAAGTGCGAATCTGAAAGGAGGGATGGCCATAGTAGATATAACTTAGCACTTTAATGTTGTTTTATTGACATTTAATACGAACTAACCATATATTATCTGAACTTCAAACTTAGTGCCTAAATATTTAATAAACATAAACAACATACAGTATTAGGCCACAAAACATATTTTAGTCGTTTATATCGGAGAAATGGAACATTGTTGCACGTATTTAATGGTAAAGTATGCATTGAACGCATTATCGGCATTATCACAGCACAACGAAGACCGGCTCTGTTCGGCGAAGCGTAGATGGTGTATATTCCGCTCAGTCGAAACTATCGTTTATCTATACCTTAACAGTATAGCAGTGTTTTATATGTACATATATGTATGTATGTTTGTACATAAATAGCAAATCTTTTATTCGGATCAGATTCGAAATTTCTACTAAGACTGGAACTCAAAAATTGAGGCAGAAACAAGCAAGAAAGAATTAAAAATAAAAAGTCGACGTATGCAACATACCGCGCCATAACTCTTCCCTTACACTTTATAAATACTTCCATCGATAACTGTTTTTAGTTTTTTTTTTAGCATACGGGCTGAAGTAAGTCGAACTTTTATCTCACCTTTGTTATGTTAAAAAAGACCTAAAATAAAATACTGGCTTTCGAATAAAACAAACCACTTCCACCACAGCCCGCTGGCCGGGTAAGAACGTTTCGAGGAACGAGAAATTGCGATAAGTGAAGGCATAAATGCGTCTAAATAATTCATGAGAGCTTCGCCTAAGCTCCGGCACCTACAGCCAAGTATACACACAACAATGTATAAGCCGTAATGACAATGGATAAGTCGCGTAAAAGGATACAAGACCACTCGTGAGATGTCAAATGTCGCGCGTGAGAGTTAAATCTAGATGTGGGCGATTCATTGCGTTTCACTGGATTTAAATTTCGAACGGTTTCACTGACTTTTTTCGTGATGATATCATTAAGCTTAACGACTAAGAATTTACTATATAAGTGCTAGAAAAATGTGTTTGACTTTTAATGTTAAAATAGACTGAATGAATCACTAATTGAAAACTGATATTTTCGTTATGGCTTGTTTGTATGATTTTTAACGTAAAATCTCGCCATGTGTTGTGTCTTATGTTGATGGAAGTTAAGCTTTTAACGATGTAAAGCTTAAATCGCAACAAATGTATGTTATTGTGCCTTAAATGCGTGTAAACAAACAAAAGTTGAACATTTACAGCAGAATACGAACACACAACTTTCAAAATTAGCTACACGTTTCCCGTCACACGTCTCGTTTCCAAGCGAAAGAAGTCGTAAGTTCCTTTGAACTGTGTCAGGATTACAGTCGAACGGAATTGTTTTTCGAGGAAACAAACGTCGAAGGGTTTGTTGCGCTCATGCGTGTTTATGCTAATTGAAGCATGCATATATAGATTGCGCAGTCTTATACAGCGTGTCGTTACCATCGCGACAATAAATAAACACACATATAGGGGATAAGTTTTTAAAGTTGTATTAAACATTTAAATTCTTTAAACATACTAGACTGAATGAATCACTAATTGAAAACTGATATTTTCGTTATGGCTTGTTTGTATGATTTTTAACGTAAAATCTCGCCGTGTGTTGTGTCTTATGTTGATGGAAGTTAAGCTTTTAACGATGTAAAGCTTAAATCGCAACAAATGTATGTTATTGTGCCTTAAATGCGTGTAAACAAACAAAAGTTGAACATTTACAGCAGAATACGAACACACAACTTTCAAAATTAGCTACACGTTTCACGTCACACGTCTCGTTTCCAAGCGAAAGAAGTCGTAAGTTCCTTTGAACTGTGTCAGGATTACAGTCGAACGGAATTGTTTTTCGAGGAAACAAACGTCGAAGGGTTTGTTGCGCTCATGCGTGTTTATGCTAATTGAAGCATGCATATATAGATTGCGCAGTCTTATACAGCGTGTCGTTACCATCGCGACAATAAATAAACACACATATAGGGGATAAGTTTTTAAAGTTGTATTAAACATTTAAATTCTTTAAACATCAATATTTACAGAGTTATAAAATTTTCCAAAACAAAGAATTTGAGAACACCCTTACCTATAAGAGCGTAACGAAAAGTTCATTTGTAAAGGTCACAAAGCACATGAATGGGTTGAATGAATTTAAAAGAGACGAACCATACTGTTAGAAGGAGAGGCTTGTAATACGACGCTGTGGCGCGAGTTGTATAGGATGTTACAAATTTTTTTTTTTTTTTTTTACTTAATTAGTTTGTTTGAAAAATATTTTTTTTAATTATGGATTTTTTTTAACGTTAATATTTTTTTATGATTATTGGCAAGTAGCGTTAGACGTGTGTTCATTTATTGTCGCGATGGTAACGACACGCTGTATATTAACTTATGGTATACTGCTAAGCTTAAATAAAAAGATAACAACGTATCGGCCTATATATTATGTCTCGACAAAGCCTCTGTGCAGAGAATATGAGGACATAGCCCTGCATAGGAACTGCGGTAGACTTCATGTACCTTCAAAATATTTTTCTTATTATAATTATTTATAAATGCAGGTTTTATCCCGATGTATTCTTTCACAGATGAGCATTTAAAATTTTAATCAAAAATTTAATTCGTGCCGGCAGCAGTATTTGAACTCAGATTGCCCGGACACTGAGCTATCGTGGCTTAATGCCTGAAGGCATTTTCTACGATTCAACCAAGGATATGCAGAGAGCTTATGGTAGGTTCAGCACCGAAGCGTCAATTAGCAGCGTTGCTTTCTAAATTAAGTTATCATTATGTCAGAGAAATGAGGTCGAAAACTTTTCGCTCGCTCAAACAACTTCAAGCTTTACATGCATAACAGTGACTTGTAAGAATTAGGTTACTTCCTAACGGTGTAAATAATTATAAATGTTTTTTTTTATCAATATAGATTACGTATAATCAGTGACCAATGATGCATAAGGCACATAATTCACGTTTATAATGTCCAATA